GGCTATTGCGAGGTCTGAGGAGGGAAACGCCAGGGTAAACGGCAAATTCATTTCGACCCTATGCGTCAGTGGGGGAACTTCAACCCCCGGGGCTGCGTTTCTGCACCTCCGGAAGAAGTCGGCTTCGATTTAAAGGCCGAACCCGAAACCTTGCGTCTAATGGTCCCCATCGAGCCACCAGGACTCGCCGGGAAATCGATAACCATCGGTCGGGAAATCGGACATTTTTAAGCTGATATGAAAGGCGCTAAGAAATTTAATCGAGGTGGATAAATTAAAATCCATCTATACCCTTTCCTACTCTCTGCTCTTGGAAGTAATGGAAGTAATTAATTGAGGATACTAGAGATATAAAGAAAGTAGTGTCGATAATTTTCCTGGATTTTTCCGCGGAAACAGAAAATCCCGAGAAAAGAGGGTGGAAAACTGCTTCGAAAATCGCTCTTACCCACCACCCACCCACCCACCCGAGGGGGACGAGGGACGTGTTTGTATTCTTCGATTCCCCTCGACTGTATAAACTCGGGGAGGGATCAAAAGGGGATCGAAAGGGGATCGAAAGGGGATCGCGGTCCTCCATCGTCGAATAAAAGCCGAACGATCCGATCGGGCAGGACTCGGTGCTTATCAACGCGGAGCAGACGAAAGCTACGCGTTCCTGGTGAGCTAAGGATTCGAATTCGCCTTTCCGGAAGCTGTATAGCCCCTCTCGGTGTCGGATCAACCCCTTCGAAAAGAGATTCATGCACCCCCGAGAGATAAGCGGAGATAAGCGAAGAGGGTAAATGATTTCCTGGATACAGGTGATACAGGTGGAGGAGCAGAGATCTGCGATTGCGGTCCAGGATATATTTTTACATTTACGGTTGAATAATTGGGAAGATAAAAATATGATCTAGGAAAATTACAGTTAATTTCAGCTATTTTCAAAAATTACGTAAACGAGATTTTTTTTATGCCACTTTCTCATAACCTTAAGGTGAAGTGAAACGACCCGTTAAATCAGTTGATTTTAATAAGACACTTTTTATTAACCCTTTGAACGCGGATCCATTTCGACATACGGGCGAAATTCCTCTGACCGTGCAGGCGATATTGGACCAAACGTCGGACGCCTTTAGGCGCTCTTAGTAGCCAAAGGGCTAAAAAGCACAAATCGATTAGTAATTTGTCCATCTCATTCGAGAGAGACGTTTAAGAAGACCTTCGGAAGAGGATGAAATTCCTCAGGAACTCCAGGATAGAAAAGTTAACACGAGGTCCCGAAGAGAGAATTTAGTTGACGAAAAAATCACAGATGGCGCGAGGTGGCCCTCTGCGAGTCAATAAGGGCGTCAAAAAACCAGAAATTCATAAAATTTCCCGAGTTTTCCTTCTATTTCTTAATAATTATTCTACGGAAACGACATATTTAGTAGAGTGCCAAATATAATTAAAAAAAGCTGCCGACAGAAATGCAAACGTCGCTGACGTAGGTATTCGGAAGAATTCTTTTTACCGACGTCGATGAAATCTCTCGACGCATTTCACATCACCTTAAAGGGCAGTAAACACAAGACTCCCCTTACATCTTCAGCAAGTAATTAGATAATCTCCTCGGCAATGAGATGAGAAAGAAATAAGGTAACCTGGCTGATAAAATAAAAGACAAAAGACAGTGGAAAAGACCTTCGCAATCGCCTCACGAAGTCGAGGGTCTCTAAAAAAAGCGCTAAGGGAGGTACGCCTCGAGTGGTTTAAGGCGCGACAAAGAAGCCCGCGACATTTGAATAAACCAATTTGCGCACGCACCGCAATCTAATTCGGCCGCGGCGGGTCGTAGTTTTCACTGGGCGAAAGCGCCGATAAATCAACCAGTTGCTCCAGAATTGGCCCAGCACGCCCCAGTCGTGTAGCCAGATGGTTCGACTCCTCGACGACGAGGTGGCGCCTCCCGTTCGGACCTCCAGGAGCCTGTCCACCCCCTTCCGGAATCCGGACAGGTTAGAATAGGTGCGGGAAGGTATGTACACGCGAGTACTTGGAGAATTCTTCCCAAGGGACTTGGGAAAGAATCCCCCAGGAATGCCGGGAGCCTCGTTCACCAGGTCGCCGCCAGGGGGTGGGAACATGCGCTAGGGATGTTGGATTCCGATTCGATTCTTTAAGGTGATATAAAAGTGTTATATATATGTAACAAAAANTATGTATATATATGTATCAAAACCTTATGCAGCCCAATCATTAGGATTTATCGTTATCACCTTCATCAAATGTTTTTAATAATGTTTTAGATAATTTGGTGCACCCAGTTTGGAGAAAAGTTTTATAAATATTTTCACTTTTTGGTATGTATATGTATATCAAAACGTTATGCAGCCCTATCGTTACGATTTATCGTTATCACCTTATCATCAACGTATCAATTAAATCTGTACAGATCGTCTGGCAGGAATGAATTGCAACTTGTTACGCGTACTATATTCCATCTAAGAGTGATCCCTTTAAAAATTGGAGGTACGCGATAAGTGCAGAAATAGCCGAGCCGATCGACTCCCCGCCATCCGCGGCAGCTGGATCGATCCAACTGCGATTTCCTCGGGGGAAAAAAAAAAAGGAAGAAGGAAAAAATGGCGGCGAATAAACGAGGAAGCCGAGGGAAGTGCGAGAGAACGTCGGCAAACACCAAGAACGTGTTCGGGCCGAGGCGAGAGGAGATTATGTCACATCTATATCGAGGTCGTCAAAATGGCCGGAATCGCCAGAACTAGGTTTTCGACTTGGACACCGTCGAGGCATCGACGTGGACATAATTGATCCACCCGCCTTAAGGTGAAGCGAAAGCCCCCTCAATTCAGTCGATTCGAATAAGCCACTTTTTACTTTTTCTTTTTTCCTCTTTTCAAGGTATCGGACCTAACCGTCCGAAACTTTGACACGTGACTCGTGATCATCTAAGAACTATTCCTGACACGTTCAGAATGAGGATGTTTGGCAAGAAAAGAAAAATTGTCTACCTTGCCCAGACCAGAACCAAAGTGGCGTCGAGCTCTCATATTTCGTAAAGTTTTATAAACAAAACCTCTTCGACGCCACTTTCACATCGCCTTAAATCTCCTCTTGCTCTCTCAGAGGTGGATCTTCTTCTCGGTGCAATCTTCAAATGGAAGTAAATCATGCCAAGTAAACGGATGGTATATACTGTAGGCTACTGTTAACCGCGAATGCGTGGTTACGCACTTTATCTTTCTCGGGTACGCGTTATGGCTCGTAAAGATTGTCGGAGCTTTTAGGAGACGAAATTTGCTTCGCATTTGTCCGTTGAAAGCATAGATCTTTGTCTCCCGACTTTTTATCGCCCTTAAGCTGAGACAAAACACGTCAAAGAATTTGATCGACATCGGTAAAAAAGATTCTTCCAAAAACCTACGTTGTCGACGTTTGTATTTACATCGAGAGCCGTGTCGAATTATATTGGGTATTGTACTAAATGGCGTACTCCACCTGTCGTTTTCCTAGAATAATTATAGAGATCGCAGTAAACCCCCAGAAATCCTCTGGATTCGTGCTTTCCGAGGCCCTAATTGACTGCAGAGTGACCCCTGCGCCATCTGTGATTTCCGTGTAAATTAAATTTTCATTCCGAGGCGCCATATTACCATCCTTTCAGCCAAGCAGGGCATAAGTCACTTTTTTTCAATTATCCCATACAAATGCGAGTACCTCGATTACCAGAGTGTTCTAAATTCTCTTAAAATTATCCTAACCATTTCGTTTCTCACATCAGAGCCTTCGATAATTCTATATCGATCGAAGTATGAGAGAGCTCGTCGCCATTTTGGTTCTGGTCCGGACTAAGTTGAGAAAATATCTTTGAAAAATCCAAATTTCAAGCGGTCAGGATAATTCCTAGATGCTCACTAGTAAAGTGTCGAATTTTCTGGCGGTTCGATCCAATGCCCTTAAAAAAATCGTGTCTGATTAGAATCGACTGATTTGAGGGGAATTTCACTTAACCTTAAAGCTCGAAGGCGATTTCGCCGGTGTGTTAATTACGGTGTGTATTACGTATCTACGTGTAGGAACATCTAAACACTAGGCAGCTATCTCACCCCCCTCTCCAGTTCCCCCTATCAGTCCCTCTCTCTCCCTCGGAGCGTTAATACGGCTCGCCGTCCCACGCGGCAATCCGGGTATAACCTCCTCTCCTGGGGGTATAACCTAGAAAGAGAGACCCGATGCGTGCCGCGCCGCGTCTCGCCGGCGACTGCGCTGCCGCTGCGCTGTCGTTGCGCCGCCGCTGCGCTCCCGTCGCGCCGTTGCGCTACCGTCGCGCTACTGTCGCGCGTCGTGTAACCATCCAGCCGACCGCCTCCCGGAAAATCCGAGAAAATGGAATTTCCCGTCCGGCCATGCGCGAGAACTTTAATCGAATTTCGCCCCGGTGCGCCCGGGCCCCGCGAGCGCACAGGGATGCGCGAGATGCGCAGAGTGCGCAGCGCACGAGACGAGTCACTGGATCCCCCCCGATAGGTAGTCGATAGTCGGCTCGGTTAATCTCGCACGTACCCGCCGACCAGAGGATGCACTTCGACGAATCCTTCAGCCCCGTCCGAGGGTTTATTTTGAATGCCGGAGCGGCCTTGCGGGCGAGCTGGTCTGCGCATGCGCGCCGCCCGCGCCGGCCAGCTCGCCGGGACCGACTCCTGGCGGCCTCTTCATCTGGAAAGTTGAAAAATTGGATTTCCAGGGATCCTCGGGGGGTTCGGATTCAATGAACGCCGGTGAACGCGACCCGAGGGGAATGTTGATGATGTCCCCACCTCGGCACGCTTGGTCGATTTTTATGTGATTTTTATGCGCGGTGGGATCGCGTGCGTGGCGCCATCTCTGCGGCGCTCTCAAGACTACGTACCGGGAAGTGGAACCCGAGTAACGTATGGTATCGTGGGCAGAGAAGTTCGTTTAGACTGGTGGCGCCATCTTGCGCTGAATCGTTGAAACTCTCTCGTGTAATTCGAGATTTTCCTTCGCCGGGTGGAGATTGGGGTTACGTATTGGAATTTCTGGGCGAATTACTTGCGGAATTGCTTTTGCGGACTGGGTAAGTTACGTGGGAGAGGGGTTTGTTTGTTGGGGGAGTTGAGGGGTGAGTAAATGCAGAGTTTTCGACGGTTTTAGGGAAGTGTCACGCGTGCCTGTCACGTGGCTTGAGACAGGCTCAAACCGGTTCGACCCGTCATACTCTGCACGTCAAGTAGCGCAACAATGGCGGCTCCGGGGAAGAAACGTGAGATAGCTCTGAAAACGGGGAAGAACGTCAACGAGGACGAAGCTTCGAGTTTTTCGGAAAGTGACGAGAACGAGAACGAGAATGGTGCAGGGAATGAGCAGGTGCGAATTATTGGCTCCGTTTGTGCGGGAACTATAGTCCATCGGGACCTAACCTCAAATTGAGCATGTGCTGCGCACAAAGGATTTTACTTTGTCCTGTAATTATTGAAGGATTTGAGTCCTGCTTAGTCTATGATCGCTAAGAAAACTAAAATTGTTTCGTCTATTAAGTTTGGGAAAGTATATCTGATGTCATCAAATTTATCAGCCATTATTACCTTTCCTGGCAATGAACTGATTTGAATTCATTGAATTCACAGCCATGCGGTCGAGTATCTTAATTTTTAACAAGAAGAAACTTTTCTTTCGATACTCTCGTGGGTAAATTTTCTCCAACAAATGAAATTCTCTTTTAGGGCATGGAGATTCAAGTAGACTTCGAGGGGCGTAATCCTCAAGATCCGGACTACCATGGAATCAAGATGCTGCTACAGCAGCTCTTTCTGAAAGCTCATCTCGATTTAGCGGCTTTAACGGATTTGATAATATCACAAAATTATGTCGGATCCGTGGTAAAGCAATCCGATGACGGGGAGGATGACGGTGAAGATATATCAGATGAGGACGATTACGTAAATGGCGTATTCGGGATAACAACCGTTGTCAATTTATCCGACAGACAGGTACGATGTGAGGCAAAGTAAATTAAAGGAATGTAATCGACCTCTTTTAAGCATTATCTCCGTCTTTTCACCATTTTCAGAATCTTCCATGTATACAACAATTGAGGAGCATATTGAAGCAACTGGCAAGTGATAACGCTTCGGACGCAACAAATGCCATGATTAAAAGGATCCTGGAAGATGATTCATCGACGTTAGGCTTATTAATTAACGAACGTTTCGTCAATATGCCTGCACAGATCTCGGTACCTCTTCTCGAGAATCTAATGTGTGAGATACAACGTGCCGTGAGTAAAAAAATGCCCTTCGAGTTCACGTACTACATCTTAATTTGCAAGCTGTACAAAATGGAGAAGATTGTCAAAAAGACGGAGAAAAGCAAGCGGAGAGGCGCAACCGAGGAGCCTGAAATTTTCTGGAGTAATCCGGAAGAAGAGATCTTCGCCAAAGAAGCGACATTCAGTTTCGAATTCTGCGTAGAGAAGGAAGCAGACAGTGGCCTCGTTGGAAAATGGGGCGAATGCGACGACGAGATGACGCCGTATAGGAGAGTCCTTCTCTTCGAGGCTTCGAAACTTCAACCTATTATAGATAAGATTAAGAGATTCGTCTCTTAACCAATGAGCGCCGATCGTTATGGATGAGAATTATACCCTGACTGCTTCTGAGGAAACTACCTCGCTTCTTTCACAGCCTTGAGAGAGAAACTGTATCTCTCGCCACGCGCTGAATTAAAGAACTGTAACTTCTTAGAGGTATATACGAAGCTTTTGGTAATATAAACTGTTTTTTAACGCTGCTGAAGAAAGACTGCATTACTTAAACTGCTGGCCATCAATTAATCAATCCTATCCTAACTTAAGTGGTAAATGGAAACGGTTAAGGTGTGACAGTGTCGTGATATCGAAATGTCAAAATATTCATAAAACTTTTCTCCAAACTGAGTGCACCGAATCATTTGAAATTTTAGTGCTTGATTACGGATGTATCCATGAAAGTCTTGAAACTCGTCAAATTTCATTAAGAAAAAAAGTAGTGTTTATTTCAAACTAGAGTCAAGACGGCTTCGTCAACATATATTGTTTTAGATTTTACATTTCTTGAAAACTCAGAATCGAAAAGGAAAATTTCCAGGGCGTAGACATAATGTGCCAGCTTATGTTATCACTCGAGTATCCAAGATGGCGTACTATCAAAAAGTGTATTTTACTTTATCATGACGTTTTCATAAAACCTTAAAGTAGGGTTCGCGTGATTGGATATTTGCAATCGATATATTGAGTAAACCTTAAGAACATACGAATACTGAAAAAAGTTATAAAAAAAGAACGAACATGCTGGTTCGTCATTGAAATGGTACTTAAAATAGTACCCACGATAGTTCTGAACCAAAACTGGAATTTAGGTATTAGGCAGTCGAGTCGTTTAGTTTGAAGGACTGCCTGATCGGCTTAGCTCTCCTTCTCATGGTCCCCAAGATATTTAGCATCTCGGAGACAGCTGGAGGTGCTGCCTCAGCTTCCTGCTTGCGTCTCCTCTCCTCTTCCCTCTGTTTCTGGAAAGAAAATGTACCCTTCTAAAACAAAACCACCCGCCTTAACGTTTAACTCAGCCTGCAAAACGTCTACTTACATCGGTCTGCTTTAAGGTAAACCTGCCTCCCTTGATTTGATTGATTATGTCATCGATGGCTGGAAACACAGTCATCGATTAGTTACATTTCTACATATTCCTGCCTCAGCGATGAGTGAACTAATTTTTGGTATCTGTTCAAACTCGATCTAGATGCTGGAGAGGGTAAAAAATTACCAGGCTGTTGCGGTACCGCAGGATTCTTTTTAACGATGCCGAGGATGTTCTCCATGTCGGAGACTGCGGTGCTTCTGTCGCCGTTTGTCATCCCCCTGGTCATCAGTTTGATGGAAGGCGAAGAATTGAGGAACAACGGCGGTGGAGGTGGAGGAGGCGGTGGCGGTAAGGTGTGCTTCTTCTCCATCTCCTCGACCTTCTCCTTAAGCTCCTGGGCGAGTCTCTCGAACTCCTCCGCCGATTTTTCAGCCCTCTCCGCCCTGGCTTGCACCATTTCAAGCTCGGACTCCGCGAGCTTCAGCTTCTCCTCGACTATCTCAAACTCAACGTTCGACTCTTTCTCCTCCAGCTTCTCCTGCATCAGCTGGATCTGCAACCGGTGGCTTTGCTGCTCCTCCTCTAAGAGCCTCTTCAGCGACTCGACTTCCTGAAGAACGCACAACAGCCGGCCGTCCGGGTCCTCGTTGACCTCCGCCAACAGCAGGGCGCTTTGATGGGCCAATACGTTCCTCTCCTTCTGCACCTGTTCCAACAATCAAACAACGGAGACGTACAGGAACTGCGTCGACAACTTCTTGCGACCGTTTCATCTCGTCGAACTCACTCGGTCGGCCTCCATCTTCATCATCTGGGCATTTTCTCTCTCCCGGTCGCACTGCGTTTTCAGGGCCTGGACCTCTTCAGCTACCATCCGCGTCACCCGCTCCATGTTTTCCCTCTTCATCGTCATCTCCTTCAGCTTCTCGTCCCCTGAACGTACAACAGTCAATATATACCAAGTGGTTAAATCCTTAAGGTGTTACGAAAGTGGCATCGAAGAGGTTTCCTTCATAAAGCTTTTCTCTCCGCACCGGGTGCGCGGAATCGTTTCAAACTTCGCAACGCGAATGTGGAGGCTCTAAGGAAGGTACGGACACTACTGAAATTACATTTGTCATAACAAAATTTAAAAAATATCTGTAAATAAACTTTAAAACAAAGAAGATCGAAATTTCACGAGTTTCAAGACCTTCCTTATACCCTCAATATTTATATTGTAAAGTTTCAGTCGATTTAGTACACCAAGTTCGGGGAGAAGTTTAACAAACGAGACCTCTTTGACGCCACTTTGACATCGCCTTAAGGTGAGATGAAACACCAAATTTGGAAAGTGTCGGGATAATTCTGAAGTGCCGAAGTTTGGGACAGTTCGGTCCGATGCCTTAAAAAAAAAAAAAAGTGTAATTCCGAATGGATTGATTTGAGGGGGGGTTTCATTTCACCTTAAGGGGGTTACACTTCACCTTAAGAGGTGAAACAACAGCCAAAAAAATACCTTGGCATCTCAGGGCGCGTTCTTCGTCGAGTTGGGCGGACAAAAGAGCGGCCTGCTCTTGCGCCTCGAATTCCTGAAGACGAGCCGCGTTTAATTCCGTCTGTAGCCTGGCGATGTCTTGGCTCAGTTCTAAAAGAAATATTGATAAAAATGATAAAAGTTTACCTTGCCCCCTCGGCTGATTAATACCGGCCTTGAGATATAATTTGTTTAACGAGTCTACCTTTTACCGTTTCCCTCAGTTGTTCTATGTCGTCAGGATTCGAGTCGACCTCGTCCGCTAAGTCGATGTCGAGGATTCCGTCAGGATTAACTTGAAGGAACTTCTGGGTCAGCACCTGGGACCGCCTCTTCAGTTCCCGATTTTGCTTGTACCACTGTCGTCATGCATATCAATATGCAATTAGTCCTCGCTTCGCCAATTTTCCATTGTATATTTATTTTTATTTTTTATCTTTACCTGAGAGGCTTGTTGCATAGCTTTATGCATCGCTCCCGTTTCCACGTCATACTGATGCTTCAGTTGCTCGTATTCCTTGCAGACCGCTTCCGAAACTAGGATAGAAAAAACAAGCAATTGTTTCGAATAAGTATTTCTCCTTAGGGGGGAAAGTGTATTGAAGTAAGAATTAAAGTGAGACTAATGATTACCCGTGCGCAGCTTGTTTAACTTTTGCTCCTTCTCTTGCATCTGGCCTTGCAGCGCATTGTACAGCCGCTGCAATTGTTGGTGCTTTCTCTCAAGGTCGACATGTTCCTTGGCGGCTGTAAAACATTTGCATTACTTCAGGTACAATTAAACATACCAACGAGGCAATTAATGGAAATCAATTTTCCCTTAGCGAGACTAAATGGTCGTGGAAAGTTTTAATAATGGAAACTCTACAGACGATCGGCGCTACGAATTCCAAATTTCATGGGATACAAAAATTCCCCGGCGGTGAAATTATTAAAAATAAAATGATATTTCGAACAAGAGCGACATAAATGACATTTGCAATTCGGTGGATAAATTTTAACTCGATAACGCAACATGTCTCTATGAAAATTGCGGTATACGTCGCTAATCCACCGTGCAACTTCAAATTGCATAATTATGCAAGACGCTTTACAAAAGCGACATAATTATACAATAATTAAAAAAAAATGATTTTTCGAAAGAGAGCGACATAAATGCCGTTTGCAATTCGGTGGATAAATTATAACTCGACAACGCAACATCTTTCTATGAAAATTGCGGTATACGGTAGCGAATCTCCCGTGTAACTTTAAATTGCACAATTATGCAGAACGCGCGCATTGCAAATTTCATGGAAAATTCCAGGGCCGAGAACAATTGCAAAAGATGGGGTAATTTCGCAATCGTGGCCCCCAAACTTCGCGTTCGCCTCGATTCCGAGTGCTCGATAACCGAATGCGAAGCCTCGATTTTTATTTCCCCTGCAATGATTGCGACAGCAACAAGTGGCGAAGTGCGTGCGACAATAATGACATTCAACGATTGACAAGTCGGCCACGTATAAATACGAGATGTGTGACTAATAAAAACTACACAGACGAATCGCACTTTGGTGAATCATCCTCGCCAACGTCCCCACTTTTACAATCATCAATTGCAACAAGATTCGATCATTAAAATCAGCGCAAAATCATTTCCAAGACACCCTTTCCTTATTCAATAAATATAATTAATCCATTCCATTAAGTACCTTTCGTTAAAAGATATTCAGAGGAACACCGTGGAATTTAAATGACTCCGACAAATGGAATTTAAACTTCAAAGTGGCTCTTAAAAGTCCATTATTAATATTAATGTACAAATTAATTAGGTATTAATAAATAAGGCGTATCGGTTAATAAGGAAATGTGATTACGACTGACTCCACCTTCTTGCGAAGAAACGAATGACCAGTCATTGGTAAAAGGGAAAAAAGTCAGTCAAATTAAAAACCAATCAACAATCGATATCAATGGAAGAGATAATTATATATTAACGTGTCCTCGGTAATAATGGAATGTAATTGTTACTAACTTCCGTCCTTACCTAGAATGAAAAAGTCTCAATTAATCGCCCAAAAAGAATGAGATTAACGATTGGCAATTAATGGTAGACACAAATCAGACATTAATGTAAATCCGTCGATGATGTATAATAAATATAATAAAATAAATAAAATAATCACCACTGTCGCCCTTTTGCAAAAGAGCCTTCCTACGTTTCTCCGACTCCTCGAATTTGCTCTTCCACTTGTTCTCGGAGAAGCTGTTGCTCCTGTTGAACTTCTGGTCCATTTCCTGCCGTTTATTCGCGACGGCCGATAATCTCTCGTTCGAGTTCTTCGTCTCGGATATGGAGGAGGTCGCGGTGTTCTTCGACTTCCACCGGATGGGCGACTCGGACCTCTCGAAGGTGGCCCTTTGGGCGGCAACGGACGTCGTCCTCGCAGTCCTTTCCAAAGATTCTCTCCTCTTCGGGGGACATCTCTCGGCGGGTCTCAGGGGATTCCCTATTTTCGGCACAGGGATCAGGGAATGATTCGGACTGGCCAAAGCCCTCGGCGGCTCGTTGCTCAAGAATATGTTCAGCTCCGTCTTGTTCATGGTTCCTGAAAGTAGAAAAAAAAATGGTCTTAAGATGATATAAAAGGCGCTGAGAAATTAAATCTAGGTCAATAAATTAACATCCATCTATACCCTTTTTGGCGGTAACGTCATTTTGAATACTCAAGTGGTAACATAACCTGGCGCATCCAGTTTCCGGCATTTATATCTATGATGTCTTTTACAGTCTACGTTGAGAATTACACGAACTAAAGCGTTCCATGTATCATTTCAGTAAAGTAATGACGAAGAGATCGATGTCAAACTGTCGAAATCCCCTGAATTCATTATTCCAACGACTGTTTAGGACCAACGTCGCCATCTGTGACGTTTAGCCGTAACTAAATTATTTCCTCTAAAAACGGGCCACGCCATGTTGGTTCTAGGGGTCTATTACGTAAAGCAAATTGAGCGAAAATGTGAAAAATAAGTAGCTGACGGTATTACGGAACGTTTTTGGCGGTGAAAATGCGAGACCATTCATGTGAACCGGCTCGACACAAATTTTCACGGGAAATAGTGAAGCATACAAGAAAAGATAGAAAAATAAGCGCCGTGAACGCCATCTTCCACGGATTGTGACACCAAAATTCAAAATGGAAAACCTCCTGGGTGTTTAAATTTTGGCAACAATCGTACTCGAACTTACTAGGATGTACAGGTTAGTTTTTGTTATTGCGAGATTACATTACATTATTAAACATTGAAAACTATTAAATAATTCATGCTTACAAGACACGATAAGATAATTATATGGTTGAACGTCTAATTATAGTACGTGTAAATATGAATGTAATACATGTTTAAAAAAATTTCAATAGATTCGAGTCCTCTTCTTTACTTTTAACGGCTTTTCATCTTCCCGCCTTTCCTGCCTATAACCCACCTCTTCAACATGTTCGATTTACAAGGTATATACCTTTATTTGCAATAATACTAGACCGGAAGTGCTAGCGATCTCGTTCTTTCATATAGCGAATACGTAATTCGGCGAATAAACCCACGTGAGATGGAAGTGCGAGAAGTGAGCACGCTCGTCAAAAATACGTAATAAACGCCCTAGTCCATGAGAAATGAATACACTATTTCATGAGAAATGAATACACTATTTCATGAGAAATGAAATTTCGTGAGTTTCAGGACCTAGTTCAGGGTCTCCACAGGCTAAACCGTTCCTCGAAGGAAACCCAGGCGTTATCTCGCGTTTGCGTTTACATTATCCCTTCCAAACGGCCCGAGGAATATCTCGAATTTTTCGCCGTTGACTCAACCGTAACGTCATGCCCAGGAGCTGAGAAAACATTTATCGACACTTAGATAAAACGGAACCTAGGCCGAGATTTCACATCGAGAGCAGACATTACCGTTTGCAAAATATTTTTCGCTTTTTTACGCCTTTCCGATCCGAACAAGCCATTTGATGTTTCTCTTCTCACATCTCTACACGTGTAAATCCCTCTATGGCTCTCTTCTCATTTCTTAACATTTTAATTTTCATCCTTTCGTTGGATGAAACAGAAAATCTTGTAGATTTAAATACATACGATTTCGAGGGAAAACGTACAAGTTTTTTTAACAGATGTGCACGCATTACGCAGGGCAAAATATACGATATCGATTGGCAATACGCCTGACTTATTGTTAAGTTTCTAAAGGGAATAATAGACTATCGTATTTGGCAAAAATAATTGATTTCGATTCTTAAAAAAAAAAAAAAATAAATAAGGAAAAACCATTTCAAGTATTTCTGTCATTGAAGGGAGAGACAAGAACGTATTTTTGACGGCGTTCTTTTTACACCTCGGGTGTTTTGGTGGGGATTTCTTACACGGAGGTGTTCTTCAGGAGGAATTAATTATTGTCTCAGAAATTCATATTCTTTCCCGATCGTGACGATTTTTCATTTTGGTCCCAACCTCGCCCTGTCAAGATCCATTCCCTGCACTTGACAATGAACATGACAGAAGCCGTATGATAAGCGGTCTCGATACCAGGTGATTCGGGCTCTGCTCATCCGATAAGATAATCTCGACCGGAAGTGAGTGTTACGAGTAAGGCGTAACGCGTCAACTCGGACGGAAGTCCACCTGAACCTCCAGGGGTTAATAACTCGGGACTTTTCTATTAATAAACGTATCGGTCGCGCCCCCGAGAAGTCCGAGGTGGGTTCGAAATAGAAGCACTCCCTGTCAAAATCTCGTTTGCCGAGAACGCGTGGTCCAAAGTGGAGTCAGAATTTCTCCAAAATGAGATCTCGATTTATATTGAAAATTGACAAGTTTCTGGATGCTCCATTTAATAATAATTACCGACTTTTATTATTACGACGCTTAAACGTGTGGTCCAAAGTGGAGTCAGAATTTCTCCAAAATGAGATCTCGATTTATATTGAAAATTGACAAGTTCCTGGATGCTCCATTTAATATTAATTACCGACACTTATTATTACGACGTTTAAACGCGTGGTCCAAAGTGAAGTCAAAATTTCTCCAAAATGAGACCCTGATCGATATTGAAAATCGACAATTTCCTCGATGCTCCATTTAATAACAGTTGCTGACATTTATTATTATGAACACGAATTTACTATTACTATTATTAGATGACTTTTTACGATCAACCCGGAAGTGTTATCGCAAGGAAATCCTCAATTATTTCGTCATTTCATCCCAGGGATTATTCCGAGAAAGTAAATCATTATTAGAGATTATTATTATTTATAATTATTATATATTATATTGCATATATATATTTTTTTGTACCCGGTTTTAAAAGGGAATTATTTGTCTTCTTGTTTAAAGTTGTTAAAAGAGTGCCAAGAAATGTCCTGTCATCAGCTACTTCTCTTCTTAAGGATCTTTCCTCTCAGAAGGGCGGAATACTTTCTACAGCCCGATGACACACTTTTTACCGCATCTTGCTATCAACACCTCATCCAAAGAGTCCTCCACCATTCTCTTATGAAATGTTCGGTCAACCGAAACCTCATAAAATGAAAAGTATTATAAATGAAAAGCCGATTTCACCTATCCCCGTTCCTGTCCATTCAACTGCGCGGCACTTCCGCAAGATATACACTAGTAAAATGCAAAGAAAAGGCTTTCTTTTTCCCATAAAACTCGTATCTCCTCACGAGAATATCGGATTAATACGCGATCGATAATAAAAAATGCCTCTCCGGATAGAAGAAAATATTCACAGTTCTTACCACTAAGTTGCGCCGATTAACGAATTCCACTACCGGGTATTAAGCGACCGACCCTCGGAGCTCCTAAACCAGAAAACATGAACACCGGCGATAAAAAAAAGAATAACAAAAGCGAGTAATTTCACATATCCCCAGGCGTTCCTTTCCCCTCGAACGCGTGATACTTACGCAAGATCAGCGGGAAGAACGACGAGCGGACTTCTATTTTCCTGAGGATATATCCTTCGGCTGGGGACCTGGAATTTCGGGGTAATGGACTATAATCGAGTTACGCCGAAGATCGCAGCCCGCGGGGGGCGGGGGGGTCGCGAGGGGCACGCGCGTGATTTCCTCGGAACGTCATCCCTGCGTGCGGCTCGGGAGAGGACTCGCACTCGACTGCACTCGGCCGCGTTGGCCGCTCGCTGCTCGGCTTATCTCGGCCAAGTTCCACCGGCGGCTCGCCAGACGCTCCGTTCCCCGAAGAGTGCCGATGAGTGCCGAAGAGTGCCGAAGAGGGAACGCGGAGTGGTGTTGGGCACGCACGCGGGATTCTTGACGGCGAGGGCCGAGTGGAGCGGCGGGCCTCGAGAGCATCGCACGTAGGGAGGGCCGAGATAAGATACGAGAGATTGCCGAGAGGGCAAGTAGGACGGAAGGATCGCGGAGAGAGGGACTTTTAGGAAGGGGGTTGGAAGGACGGATCCGAAGTTTTAACCCTTTCAGTGCCGGACGATATATCGCCGTTTTACTAGTGCTAATGACCTTGGCCGGCACTTAAAGGGTTAAATGAGAGCACTTCGAGATATCGGAGTTGAGACATAGGGTGTTGGCTAATCGGATTTGAAACAGAATTTTGACAAATTGCAGTTGAATAATAGGATTTTGGCAAATCGGAGTTGAAACAGTAAATGATTTTGACTAGAGGTGATTTTAGTAAACCGTAATTTTCAGAGGATTGGAAAGGTGATCTCGGAAAAGGAAGGTGGTCTTGAAGAGAGGGACCTTTTGGGAATAGAAGATTAACAAGGAGCATTGACACGGAAAAATTCTGTAAGATAATTAAATAAACGCCATCTCTCTTGACTACTGTAGTTACTTAAGATTTAGCAGACCCATTTATCCCACGCTAACTCTTGAAGGTTTTCAAGGTCAGGCGTCGCTCACTTAACGTATTCCGTCATCATTTTCCGTTCGCAATTGACAATTGCGTCGCCTTTCTACGACTCGAGTTTTCCCTCTAAAGTCCATTTCGCAAAATGGCGGCCGGAGGGTCAGCACATTTTAGCAATTGAGTATTTTATTATTTCCGATGTGCATCGGTTCAAAGGTTTGCGTCGTGCAACATTAAGCGTCGCTCACTTAACGTATTTTGACATTATTTTCCGTTCGCAATTGACAATTAGTCGCCTTTCTACGTCTTAAGTTTTCCTTCTAAAGCCCATTTCGCAAAATGGCGGCCGGAGGGTCAGCACATTTTAGCAATTAAGTATTTTAGCATTTCCGATGCGCATCGGTTCGAGGGTTTGCGTCACCGTCTACGCAACCGGTGCCGTCAGAGTAACACTGAATGCAGGCCAGATAGTGCGAGTGGAAGCGACTGCTGATATGACGGAAAAAAGGCCTCGCCATATGCGAGTTTGAGTCACGCCGTCTGAATAATCGCAAGGAGACTCTTTGTTCGCCATTAAAACCGCCGGCGGAAACGCGGCGATCGTTCACCGCTGGTCAGTAACTCCGGAATTACTTTTCCTCCTTTTTCCCCTTTCCTAGATTTCTAGAAATCGTCCTCGACGAGCCCCACGAGAATATCAAGGCGATCCCTATGAATAACCTTATTGAGAATCATTTCCATGAAAGGGTTTCAAGGGCTTTGCCAGTCTTCCCTACAAGTGTTTTTACTGCGTTATATTACCCCGGTAAGATAACCTGAACGAGAACATAACCGACGAAAAATTTAAGTTTAAATTACCGTGACATTATCGGTTATGTTACTCGCACTTAAAGCCTTGAGAATTTAAAAACACTCCCCACAAGAAAGAGGGGAGGCGCATGCGCGATTTTTGAATTAACGGCGGGAAAGCCAATGCGTTTTATTTAAAGAGATATTAGGAGGCGTCTTTTGAGGAAATATTTATTTTAGGAAAGAATCGAGGAAATTGACTGATCTCACTCGACGGAATTTTCGACGTTGCGTCGTGACTCCGTTAAGGAGAGTTTATTGTCTGAAATTGTTCCCCGTCCTTCGCTCGTAACTGAAGTGACTCATGCTCGTTAACTGTTCGTATACCTCGCCATGATGACAAAGGATGGTTTCAAATTTTCGATCAGGACATTTTAAACTCATCCCGATATTAGCAGTTGATTTTGTAATTAACTTAATAAATGTAACAAAATTGACGAGAGCGGAAAATAATAGTGCGACGCAGGTACTAACGTAACGTCGGTTAAAACGCGGAAATAATATAAATATTTAATTTTTTTTCAAGTCAAATTCTTGCAGTAAAACGTGAAAAGACTTTTGTTGCCGACCCCACTTAAGAATTTTAGCGCAAAGTCGGTAACGTATACAAATAATAACGTGAAGAAAACAGTAATGAGGAAGTATGTAGATGTAAATCTTTGTATTTTCAGATGGAGACGTCGCGATGTAAAACGCTTCTGGTTGCATGCGGCAAATATATGCCGATGTAATTCTAAGGAACTCGCAATTCAGTTATTGCGAGGTCTTAAGCAAGAGTAAAATAAGCCAGGATCGGAGTAAACTCTCGAAGTGAAAGTAATTCTTAAGACCGAGTAGCTCTTACGGGAACATGGCACATTTATTCTCCCATATACGTGCATTCGTACCGTTAACACACTACAATAAATTGCGCTCGTGTGTAACATCTGCAAGGCGATTAAAAATGGCTCTGGAAACGAGTTCCCTCGCTGCGTAGGAATGGATATGGAAGAGGAATTTTTTTCAATTACTTTTGCGCAATGACACTTGTCCCTACAAGGATAGGTGAAAAGGATTGGCGTTAAAAATCTCTGATAACGCGTCTCTAGAATTTATCGCGAACGATATGTATCCGCCGCCATCTTGGAAACTTAAAAATTTCCCGAAGAGTATCTTAAAAATGATTTCAGTGCACGAATCTAAGGAGAATTATTCGTTTTGGTTATTTACTGGAATGTTTTCCGCAACATTGTGCACGTTTCGAGACTGGAAACGAGGTTTCCCGTCTTCTGGAATTAGTTGTTTATGATCTAGGAGAAATAGCGCGTCCCTTCGCGCTCTGCGCCTATGTTGAACAGCTGACGACTTAACCTCACTTTTTATTCCCACTCTATCGCGACAGATGACTTCCCAAGGAAGATTAACCTCGTTTTTGAGGACGATTCGAAGGTTTCAAACGTGAGGTCAATTTAATATCTGAGGAGTAAAAATGGGGAATCAACTGGTCGGAATTGCTCCCAGCCAGATATTTCCGGTCGAACATTATTTGACTGATCACAGTGATCTACTGTTTGATGTTAAGTAAGTTACGTTCATATTACTAGTTTAAAGATTTCTACAAGTCATTCGAAATTAATCGTTCATCGAGGTTGGTGAGAGAAATTAGGCCATATAAGCCTATCGACTCTATATGTTGCACGATGTTTTGATCTACTTTGCAGTTTGGGAAGCACAAGATTCTTCAAAGTGGCTCGAGCTAGAAGTCAAGAAGGTTTGATCGTAGTCAAAGTCTTCGTAATACATGACCCGACTCTGCCATTGTCCATGTATAAAGACAAGCTGGAAGAGATTAGATCAAAGCTTGCTTCCGCGGTCAATTGCCTGCCGTTCCAGCGAACGATCGTATGGGATATTTAAATCTACAGCTTATTCGATAAATGAAATATAATTATGTTTAGAATTTAATTTATTTGTTACTAGTTAACTGAGAAAGCTGGATTCATTATGAGAGAGTATGTAAAGTATTCACTGTACGATAGAATCAGCACAAGGCCCTTTTTGACTACTGTTGAGAAAAAGTGGATAACGTTTCAAGTTCTCTATGCTCTCCATCAGGCTCATAAGGTAAGTCTATGAAATGAATACGTTAGAATTGGTACTAAAATTTAAAGAATTGGTTGTTTCTAGTTTGGTGTTTGCCATGGGGATATCAAACTGGAGAATATAATGATAACTAGCTGGAATTGGGTCTTGCTCGCAGATTTTGCCAGCTTCAAACCAACGTATTTACCGGAGGACAACCCTGCAGATTTTTCATATTTTTTTGACACGTCTAGAAGGAGGTGCTTAATTATCCTGATTCAACCCAATTTTAAAAAGTAACTGATTAACTAGACCTATTTATAATTTCAGAACATGTTACATTGCTCCTGAGCGATTTGTTAAGACTCTCTCTTCGGAATTATGTAATACAATGCTTTTACCGGAACAAGAATTGAAAACGGGTGATTTACAGCCAATGATGGATATTTTTTCTGCTGGCTGTGCATTAGCAGAGTTATACAACGAAGGACATCCTCCGTTTGATTTTTCCCAGCTTTTATGTAAGTACCCTTAAATATGTACATATCTCCTTAAAGGATCGTTCTACTTTGAAATAAAACATTTTTTGTTTCACTTTTCGAAACTATGTGCTCGATATATGTGATATGAAATCGCAACATAGCTTAATTTTTCAGTCGTCAAAGTAAAATGACTCCTTAAATATAACAATGTAGATGTCAGGAATTATCAAAATGATTATGTTTGTTAAAGCGTACAGAAATGGGGAGTACTCAGCTAATAAACACTTGGATAAAATTGAAGACACAGGAATACGCGAATTACTTGGCTCAATGTTAGAGCGAAATCCTGCGAATAGGAAAAGTGCAGAAATTTATTTATCTCAAGCCCGAGGAAAGATCTTCCCCGAGTACTTTTACTCATTCCTGCAATCGTACATGCTGATCTTTTCTGCTGCTCCGATACTCTCTCCCGATGAAAAGATAAACAGACTGAAGAAAGACATCGGGAATATTATAAATATTTTAAAGACTGAAACCAGCGAACAAGCAAAAAGTGTTCAAGCCGAGAACGTGAAGAATGGTCACGAAAGTACTACAGATTCAGCGATATCCAGTAAAAATGACACAAGTAAAACCGAAGAAACTGAGAGCGAATCTTCTGGAAAGACTTCGCCTTATCAGAACAATCGAATAAATGTTTCTCACTTCTCAACTACAGATTCATGCACCAGTTTAGAAGCTGATATAGAGAAGACTGACTGCGAGAAGGAAAAGAGAGAGACTAAATCCTGCGATGGGTTGGAAGGCCTGGTAATAATAACACAACTTGTGACATCGTGCATCAGAGGACTGCACCATTCTCAGTCCAAGTTACAAAGTCTGGAAATATTATTGGAACTGGCCGAGAACACGTCCGACGAAACCATCCTAGACAGAATTCTTCCTTACATAGTAAGCGAACCACATGAGTTTAATAATTTTTAATATCTATTAAATCCTCTTGTTCTTGTAATACGTAACAATCTTGTTCGCAGTTTCATCTAGTCCATGATCCTGCACCCAGAGTCAGGGTATCTGCGATTCATACCTTGACAAAATGTCTGTACCTTGTCAAGTCTATTCCACCCTCCGATGTGAACATCTTTCCAGAGTACATTTTACCAGGCTTGTCTCACATCACGCAGGACGACGCAGTGATTGTGAGAGCTGCTTACGCAGAAAATATTGCTCATCTGGCTCACATAGCGTTGAGGTATTTGGAAAATTCCCATTTGTCAAATTTGGGCAACAACGAGGGACCCAGGCCAAGCTATGACGGCGAACTGCAAACCCTACACGAAATGGTAAGCTTCGGTCTCCTTTCTTTCAGCATGATTCTGTTAATTAATCACTGTTGACTTAAAAAATGAATTTAAACAGTCTATCACGTTTTAATTATTTTGCAGGTGCAACAGTCTGTATCGATGCTACTCACAGACCCACAAAATTTAGTAAAGCAGACGTTAATGGAAAACGGCATGAGCAAATTGTGCGTATTTTTCGGCAAACAAAAAGCAAACGATGTATTGCTAAGCCACGTGATTACCTTTTTAAACGATAAGGAAGATAAGCAACTGCGAGGATCCTTTTTCGAGTGCATCGTGGGTGTTGCTGCTTACGTAGGTTGGCACTGTAGTCCGATACTCATGCCTCTTCTTCAGCAAGGACTTACAGACCCTGAAGAGTTTGTAACTACTAAGGCTATAAACGCCATGGCTACGCTAACAGAATTGGGTCTTCTGCATAAGTCTGCCCTGTACCAATTACTCTCCGAGACCGTGGTGTTTTTGGTAAATATAACCTCGAAATCATTCCCCTTCCTTTAACTACACTGAAAGAAAAAAAAGAAGTAAACTGTGTAATGTTTATTCTGCTTTACTATTTAAAGGTTCATCCAAACCTGTGGGTCAGGCACGCCATTGTTGGGTTTATCTCGGCAGCTGCAAGAACGTTGAATCTCGTCGACGTTCAGTGTAAGGTGCAAACAATGATACAACCTTACTTGAGGCATTCTCTGATACAATTGGAGAAAGAAGTCTTGTTGTTGGAAGCTCTGGTTCCACCGATTCCACGGATAGTTTACGACTCTGTGGTAAAATACAGCGACGTCGAGGAACTCTTTCAGGTGCTGGAACAGCGTCAGGTTGCCAGGATAAAAGCCATTACAGGAATTGTGCCGCAGTACAATGACATGAGTACATCTCTACGAAACGTATGTTAAATCCGTTGATGCTTCTAAAACTAAAAAAAAAGAGTTTTAAAATACTTCTTGCGGCAATAAGAAAGACACCAAGAAATTAAATCGATGTCGACATTTAATCAGAAAAAAGTTCTAATTGATATGTCATCCAGAACAGTTACTGACATTTACATTTAAACTATTTTCGAATTTTATACTAATGATTTCTTTTAGCTCTTCAGGCGTTTGACCTCTGAATCCATGACGGAAGTAGTCGAGGACCAGCTGTTGGTCATGAAGCCACATTTAATAAAAATCAACAAGTACAGGAATGCAGTGGAAGCCAAGAATCATGCCAGCAAACAAACGGATGGGAAGCTGGAATTAAATACCATGAAAGACAAGGTTCGCCACCACATCGTGGTCCTGTATCCTGATACCAAAGGCGATATGGGACTGCATGCTTACAAGAAAATGGATCGGAGGACTTCGGACACAGCAGCTGCATATGCCACGATGAACCAAGAATGGCGAACCATGTTCGCAGCCCATGAAAGTGCACAGGTACTGATCTCAGTTTGTGGAATAAAATCGAAGTTTGAACACAATCAATTGATGTATCATTTCTAGCATTCTTCTATCAAAGCTTCCGATATGATGGGAAGTGGTGGTTCAAGCCAAAGCATACATGGAGGTGACATACACTTGTCTCCGCAGCACAGTCTCACCGATATGAACAGTATCAACGATCACTCTCTTCATGAGCGGTCTTACATTCAGTGTGAATATCCAGAACCAACAAGAAATTTCAGAAATGAATAAGAAAAAAGTGACTCCATTAAAAAATCCATTTGATTTCCAGATCGATGTGCACCCTGTCGTTTAGAGGTGCGACAATTGACCTACAGGAAACAGGAGCAACATGCTGCAGCTCTGAGGGCTCAACACTGGGCTGATAACATTGCATGGCAAAGTGGTACGTAACGGTGAACAGACAAAACTTGTGACGATGAGAAATAATGGTTGGGAAATATTAATATCCTTAAATTTAGTCATCGCGTACATGTTAAAGGGTCGAGATTGTTGCCAAGTGGGTGGAGACCACGTGGGATTCCAGTTGCTCATCTTCATGAGCACAGAGCTGCAGTGAATCGACTGGTTTCCATTCCTGATACAAGCTTGTTTGCCAGCAGCGCAGCAGATGGCTGCGTCAGGATCTGGGATGCAAGTAAAATGGAGGGAAGAAACGTCGCCAATCGTTCCAGGTTAGATGATAGAATTTATAACAAAGTAATATAGTCAGTCTTCGGTCTGCGCATAGTTTTAAACGTTAATTACTGATTAAATAATCGATCTACAGGCAGACATATGTGCATAGAGGGGGTCCCCTGGTTGGCCTCGCAGTCTGCGAGCAGGGACAGTCCTTGGCAAGTTCTGCGAGTCAATCTGGATCAGTGTTCGTCCTTCGAATCGAGCCAAACTCCTGTAAGATGAATGTCTTGTATTCGCGACAGTTGGATCTTCAGGTGATTATTAACTTGATATCCTTGCATAATGGAGTATAAACGACTTTAGAATCCCTTCGCTGTAACTACTTTGTATAAATGACTTTTAGGAGGAAGGCTGCGCAGTTGACCTCCAGTACTTGGATTTTGGCTCGCAGTCTGTTCTTGTATACGCCACGTTGTATGGATCCTTGGTGGGCTGGGACCTCCGTAGTCCTGGGACCACGTGGCGTCTGGAGAATGATCTGAAACACGGGGTCATCACTTCGTTTTGCGTAAACAATTACCAACAATGGTTGACTCTCGGCACGAGCTCTGGGGTCCACACTTGCTGGGATCTGCGGTTCCAGCTGCCCATCAGCAACATAAAACACCCAGCCGGTAAGGATTCACGATTAGCAAGATCCCAGATTAAAGTGAAATAATACCCTCCTCGAATTAATCGGTATAAATACGAACGTCGGCAACGTAGATATTTAGAAGAATCTTTATTACCGACGTTGATGAAATGTCTCGACGTATTTCACTCCACCTTAATTCTGCCATTTGGAAATATTCTAGGCGCCAGAGTCAGGAAAGTCATCACGCACCCAACTGAGCACTCCTGGATCATATCTGCGGTCCAGGGCAACAACGAGATCTCAATGTGGAACCTGGAGACGGGTTTCCGGCAAATGGTACTTTGGGCATCGAACGCACCTCCTTTGAGTCACTCTCAAGGTGGCCACAGCGTTTGCGCCATGCATTCAGGGTCTGTCGACAGATCAGGGTTCTTATTGGCTGGTGGAACAGACATGAGATTGAGATTTTGGGACCTGAACATCCCCAACGAGTCCTACGTCGCACTGCCTGCAGCGAACGACGCCATTCCTCTGAACTCTTTAGTCTACGAGTTAGTATTTATCCTGAGAAAGTCCAGACAGAGCTGGGTAACCATTTCAATTGAATTCACTTGAAGTGGGTGTTTAAAATTAAAGATGCCACTTTCTAATTTGCATCAGTGAGAAGACAGAACCACTTTGGATTCCCTATTTTAAATAGTTCCCGGGGACCATGTTACTCAGCTCTGAGTTCAGGTTGCGATACCAGGGAAACACCAATTTATTCAATCCGCTTTCAGGCAGCGACTGATAGATGGTACCAACGTGGTCCAGGAAGTGTTGGCAGCACCCCCAGGACTTACATCCGGAGGAGGAGGCGCCAGGGTGAGGAGTTCCGAAGAGAGTGGTGGACAAGGGCCCGAAGCACCTCCTTCGGGTCACCACGACACTATTTCAGCAGTGTCCATGTCGAATGCTTGCATCCTCACTGGCAGTACGGATGGCCTGATACAAGTCTGGAAGTGATTCCGAGATGGTCCTGGCGATGGTCCTGGACTACAGACTTTTATGACGACGAGCTACTCGTGGCTTAAGGTGATGTGAGAGCGGCGTTCATGAAACCGACCTGGGTGTACCGAATCATTTTGATCCTTACAACGCGAATATAGACGCTATAAGGAAGGTCCTGACACCCATGAGATTTCAATTATAAAAAAATTTTGTTTATATTTCCAAAATTTTTTTTATATAAAATGAAATATCCCGAGTTTCGGGACCTACCTTGGGGTCCTTATTCATGCGATGAAATTTGAAACAAATCGATACACCCAATTCGGAGGATACTTTCGTTATTGACGACGATAACAAGGCTGATAAAAAGAAGTGTGCTGTGATGCTGATAAAACACAGGAAAAGAAATGAAACATTTGATGGGCACCGTTTGGCACGAGCTGCGAATCTATGGACGGTTTTTGTAAATAGAGTACGATGGCGGTGGAAGGTACCACGAAATTGGTTTACCGATTTAGTTACTCCTTAAGGCGAAAATTAATGTCTAAGAGAAGCGATGCTATTTGTTAACCGATAATTCGTTGAGAGACGCGGCTTTGGTTTCTATGACTGGCACCTGTACAGTACTCCGAGTCGTACCTCTAGATTTACAGGTAAAAATACGAATTACACTGAAACGACGGGTCCTATGATTTAAATTTATTTAAACAGTTCTGATAGTGTCTGAAAGTACCTAGGTAGGAAATCGATCGCCGCTGAAAACTTCCCCATTACACTGAAGGAATTCTTTTTTTCCTAGCGTTCATCTTCCATAGAGAAAATCCTGGATAATCCTCACTTACAGGAATGTAATCCCGAACGTACACACAATACGTACGAGAGCCATGTTAAATAATGTAAAATAATTAACAGATCGCTGTTAAGTCCGCATCATGCAAAAGTAATCATTCAATTTCCCTGTCGGTCGGAACGAGGGACGGCAATTACACATCGTATCATGAAGTATCGTTTAAATATCGATCTTGAACGGTGCCTTATCGGTGCGTCAGTTCATTACGTAAGAATATACGTAGAACCATCGCCGATTTCCCGGCGACCCGGTGATAAGGCAGAGTAGTCGTTAAGACGTAATGTCTACGAGATTGTTACAATAAAACCTCCGTTTATAAAAGTTAAGACTTATATATACAGGCGTAGGAGACGGAATGCGTCAGAATTCTCGTAGATCGTTTAAATCATGAAGTAGTATAAGTAGACGTAACGCAAATGGTCGGTTTCACAGAAAGTGGCCCCAAAATCGGGACCCAGAATCTCAGACTTTTTCGCTGATCTAACGACGCGAACGCCGCTTGCGGATAACTAGGGAACTCCGATATACGTAACCGAAACATCTCCTAGGGACGTAAATAACCCAAAACGTTTTTAATTTTGCAATTAAGGTACGAAAAGCGAAACGACAATCCGCGGATGATATACAGAATGTGATGGTTTTAACGCGATAAAGACTAGCGGACCTGATAGCAGTCGATGACTATTAATTGCAAAATTTCAGCGTGAGGGCGCTCTCGGCGCTAGAGCGGAGAAAAATCTGAAGATCTTGGAACACTACGGTAGGGATGATTTTAATACTTGGCGTTGTATCTTCTTATACAACTTCATGGTTTAAATGCTTCACCAGGGACAAACTGGAGACGAAAGATAGGGCGGTTGTCCTGGATAGGCGAAGCTGTCGGGATTAATCGTCCTGCAGATTTCCTTCCACCGTTCTTTTCCGCCTTTTCCTTGACGATGCCTCTGTCTCTGGTTATAGCGATAATCTTGCGACCCTCCGAAGACGAGATCCAGCCAGGGCGCTCCCATGACGCAGACGATCAAGGCCAGGAACACCATTATCACCCTCATGGCCTTGAACTCTTGACACGGTACGAGCGTTATCAGCCAAGGCTTCTCGTGGCGATCTGGAAAGAAATGTAATCAGACGATTTTAAGCGGTTTTTATCATGGATGCAATGTCATTAAAATTAGGCCTAAACTTAAAGGAAATTTTGGGCGCTTTTTAGTATATACGATGGAATTAAAATTAGGCTTGATCAGAGTAAATCTAGAAAATTTCTGAGATTGAACGAGACCAGCCGGAACTTCTCGCGATAGTCCAGAAAGGAATTCTACCATCATCGAATTTTTCCGTGACAATTGACACGACAAACAATTAACCAGGCCCACTTTACGTAGCATAATTAAAATGTAAAGATGTATGTAACATACGTAACGATTTCGTGGACCAGAATGTAAGCTCTTCCAGGATAGCGACAGGATGCGCGCGCAGGATTTAATTCTCAAGGTCAAGGTTTTCGAAGATCCACATTTCTAACGTGTCGGGACAATTCTTAGATGATCATTTGTCAAAGTTTCGGACGGGTTTGGTCCGATAATTTAAAAAAAAACGTGTCTTATTAGAGTCGACGAATTTAACGGGGGGCTTTCACTTCACCTTAAGGACGGAAAATTGTCTCGCACCTTCTTCGATTATCCGACTTTCTGCTCATTTTTCTCTCGGCAGTAAGTCCCGGCGAGGCACGGTTCTCGAATCCACGAAGAATCGTCATCTACTTTTGACAGATACTTTCATCCTGGAAGCTTCACACTTTCTGAACACCGGCGTCGTATTATTGGTGGCCAGCGGTGGCCTTCCCGTAGTTTTTTGCTCGTCATTCTTTCATTAGAGCGGAAAGCCGGATTCACGCGTCGCTCCTCAAACTTTGGAATTCTCCCGTTAATAAATATTAATGAAATAGCAAGACTCGCGAAAGAAAAGACGTTGAAAAAGCAGCGAGAAACGTCCTCTTAAACGAGGGATCGCGCGGCCATCTTGGATATTTTTGCATGAAAATTGGAGCTATAAGGTGAAGCCCCTTTTAATCCGTCGATTCTAATACAACACTTCTTTTTTAAGGGTATTGGATCCAAACTGTCCGAAACTTTGACGCATAACTCCTGATCATCTAAAAATTGTCCTGACACATTCAAAATTTGGATTAAAAAAAAAATTCTTTAACTCAGCCCAGACCAGAAACAAAATGGCGTCGAGCTCTCATATTTCGATCGATATACAATTATCGAAGGCCCTGATATGAGAAACGAAAGGGCTAGGATAATTTTACGACAATTTAGAACACTCTGGTAATCGATAAACTCGCATTTGAACGGGATAAAGGCAAAAAAAGTGTTATATGCGCTTCTATGCCAAACGATGGGAATACGAGGTCTCGGAGTGAAAATTTAATTGACCTGGAAATCACAGATGGCGCAGGGGGTCCCTCTGCAGTCAATTAGGGCCCCAGAAAGCATGAATCCAGAGGATTTCTGGAGTTTGACATAGATTTCTTTATAATTATTGTATGAAAACGACAGGTGGAGTATGTCATTTGGTACAATACCCAATATAATTCGATACAGCTGTCAATATAAATACCAACGTCGGCAACGTAGGTATTTAGAGAAATTTTCTTTATCGACGTCGATCAAGTTCCTCGACGTCTTTCACTTCACCTTAAGGTGAGGACACTTTTTATAAGAGATGTTCCACCGCACTGGCTGAAGTTTAATCACATGACTAGTTATCACCTTAGAAGTGGAGATACTCACTGGAAGAGATTGCAGTCGCAAGTGCACTTCTCGTACAGAGAGTTAAAAGCCGCGGTTTCTTTCACGACCGATTGGCCCGATCGGAGAAGAGGAATGACAGTCAAGGTTCCTCCGGCGATTATGGCAACTCGAGTCGACCATTTAAAAGCACCAGCTCGACTTAGGCTCGACTCAACGAGTGGAGGGATGCTGAATTATCCCGGCTGTTTTATATACAAGAGAAGCCCTGCCTCCCGGAAAAATAGACGAGTCGAGAGGACTAAACGATTCCATGGCGGCTCGAAACGTCGTAATTTTTTAAGGGCACACTGTCCACGTTTAAAAGATCCGACGTTTCGCTTTTGTAGAAATGAGCGCAAGAAAAAAAAAAAATTATAGTCCACTAGAGGTCCATAATTGACGTAAAGATACTCGGCTGTCCGCTTCTCGTTCGACATGCATTTGTTCGGAAACTCTATCGAGTTATTTGCTCGGCGAAATATTTGTAACTAACATATTATTCATACGTTGATATATGAGATGATTTAAGGAGTGTTTAAAAAAACTACTGTTTGCTGTTAAGTTGGCAAACAAAGGGAAAAAGCATGTTAGGTCACTAATAGAGGTCCATAATTGACGTAAAGATACTAGGTCGTCTGCTTCTCGTACTAAATGTATTTGGCCGGAAACTCAACCGAGTTTCTTGCTTATCGCTTCTCGGAATATTTCATCAAAGCCTTGTTTTACAATTCAATACAGGTGGAATATTTAAAGAATACTTAAATCCTGTTCATGTATCATTTTTAGAACGGAGAAAGTCGACGAAGAAAAAAAAGTACCCTTGAAACCGTGACACCGCCTGTCCTTCGGCGAATGAAGAAATTTAATCTCGGAATACAGATAACCAAATTCAATGCTTGATAAGCTCTATGTAAACGACAATAGACACCTACAGGCCACGATCGCTTAATTGTACTTCGCCTCGAGGTGTTAAATAATTAGTACAAGCGCGCTTTTATCAGCGTAATGAAATCCTAATCCTGAGAATAGTTATCTTAGACGTAGGAAGAATTAACTATTGACCGCATTGCTTGAATACCTATACGCCTAATTGCAAGAGGGAATGTTACAAGTGTCACAATAACTACTTACAATTTTGCAACCTGGACAATTGTAACATTCCATACATAACGATGCTTGTTCTCTTTTTTTTTTTTTACAGCAAAGCGCAAAGAGAGTGGATTAGTTATTCGTTAGTCGGTAAATAAAAAGTCTCATAAAAAAATGGGGCGAACGAATTCTTTGTCTCGGTAGAGCGCGACGCCAAGTACATTTCAACAACTCCGCTTAACAATGAACTTAAACTTGAGGAAGGTCTTTAATCCTCGACTGAATTTCGTAAAACACTCACGACTCTCGTGCGTGACGCTTTTGAACGTGATTCAATCATTCGTCTCCGAAGAGAAAAAGAAAGAAGGAAAAAAAAAATCCTACTTCTTTCGGCGACAATTTATTAGCGTTAAATCATTACTCGTCGGGCCAAGGAAATATTTCCTCGGTACTGTTAGAAGAAACATTTCTTTAGCTCGACGTATATACTTCCTAAGTGTAAATATCGTTAAAATACCCCACGAGACCCTGCCACGTAATTACCCGCTTCTGAGCCTAAAAATCGGCATTAAAAAAAAAGTCGTAAAATTGTACATGTCGTAATAGGTAATCACGCGAGACGGTAAACTATTAATACAAGTTTTTCGTCTAGTCTACGTACATGGATGTCTACCGACGAGTGTGCGAATGATTTACAGCGAGCAATTAAACGGAGGTCCAGTTTACACCTAATCCGACCTATTACAGTGGGCCCACTATTATTACTATTTTCCTAATGCCGTAATACCCGGTTTCCAGGCTGACCCGCCTATAAATAGTGATCGACAGAGAAAGTTTCGCACTCCGGTCTACCCTAAAGACGACTTTGCTCCGTTGCGCTTTCCCACGCGTTAGCGATAAACGGGCGCTACTGATTCTTCATTTTTCTCGCTTTTTCTTCTTCCTCTTCATGAAGATTGTACATCGCTCGGTGTTATTAACTCCTCGGAGCCGATACGAAAATTCGGTCAGGGCCAAGTATTGCGCATACTTAATGCCAATCGGATCGAGGCGAAATATTTGTCGGATTAACTGGAGCGGCCTCGAGACGAGGCGAGAAAAATCAAGAAAAACTCCCAAATCCAGCATAATTAGACAAAATATATGCATTGATAAGAATTTACAAAGTCAAATTGGTTATTTGGAATTTTTTCAGACTGATTAAAAAATGGCAAAGTGCTTCAGTGATATGTTGAGATCTTCCAGATCTTCGTATTTATATCGACAGCCGTGTCGAATTATATTGGGTATTGCACCAAATGTCGTTTTTGTACAATATTTATAAAGAAATCCAAGAAAAACTCCAAAAATCCTCTGGAATCATGGTTTCAGAGGCCCTAATTGACTGCAGAGGGACCCCCTGCGCCATCTGTGATTTCCATGTCAACTAAATTTTCACTCCGAGACCTCGTATTACCATCGTTTTAGCATAGAAGCGCATAAGACTTTTTTTTTGCCTTTATCCCGTTCAAATGCGAGTTTTTCGATTACCAGAGTGTTTTAAAGTCTCGTGAAATTGTCTTGACACTTTTTTATTTTATATTAGGGCTTTCAATAATTGGATATCGATCGGAATATGAGAGCTCTTAGTGTCTATACTAAAAGAGTAGCCTCAAAATCGTGCGAGAAAAATTCGAAGAAAAAGCGTTAGTGTAACGAGTCACCGAGAATAATATATTGTGAGGAATTTACAAGGTCAGGGTGGACGCTAGGGATTTTTCAGGCGAACAAAAGAACGTTTCATTGCGTATGCCAGGTGGGACTTTGTAGGCATTACGCGAGCGATACCGGCGATATATTATAATAAAGGAGCAGCTAAAAGGCGTGCCCAGAAAATTGATATCATCGCGAACCCGATTCCTGAACGCAGTATCGCAAACGTACTGAATATAAATCCATCGGGGAACTTTTTCTTCGTTTTTACGTCTCGCGTCCATTTTTAGCGTCATCCGAGATCTTGCGGGGATTTCCTGGAAGCCTCGTCTTGCGTTTCCGCCGGTCGTGAAATTCGATTCATTAGGTTTCCGAATCAGCAGAGCCAGGAGATTATTCGGCATTATGGGGAACGGCTTGACGAATCGTCTAAATATTTTGATCGGCTAGGAACTTCGGGAGCTGCACTTTCCGAGCGGCCATACTTACATCTAGCTCGACTCAGTTGCGTGCAATTCGCGATTCCGACAGTTTCTAGAGATGACTTCCGATCGAATTTTCTGTCTTTCGAGTTAAATGCTTCCTCGCTAAGCTTCGGAGTATCCAACTGATTTCTTAATGAGATTGTGAGTATGGGATTTCAGATATCGGGTGATGAACTTTTCGTTGTGATCTTGTCTCGCCTGAGGAAGGAAAAGTGGTTTTTTATTAAGGTGCAGCGGAGCTTCAAAAGTGTTACGATGGAGTTTCAAATGTGATCTTTCTTTCTTACGGAACATGTGGGCAAATAATAAAGGTATTAAGATACGATATTTATCATTAGGAAATTTTTCAAACCGATACTAATGTTATCGAGGCTTAGAAGATTTTTTCCTCAACGGACCAAGGGCTCGAGTCGAACCAGAATGTTTAGATATGTTGGTGGATCGCACTGGTTTCTCCAAAAAGAAGGTTCGTGAACTGTACAGAGCTTTTAAACAGCAGTGTCCTGGAGGAGCTGTGATTCCGAGTGATATGAAATCTGTGTACGCTAAGTTATTCCCTCTGGGTGACTCGACAAAGTATGCAAAAATTGTATTCAAAACGTTGGACAAGGATGGCAATGGAGTAATTAGTTTTACTGATCTGCTAATGGAAGTCGCTCGTATCGTCAGGGGAAATGCAGATCAAAAACTATCTTGGATATTTGGGTTAGTTATGTATTGATTGGATCGGTATATTCAGTAGGTATTATTATAGGTAAAAAATAATAAGTACTGTATACATTAAACACTTACGAACCATCAGGATGTATGATTTAAATGGCGATGGATTCATTACAAGGCACGAAATGTTGGTCATAGTATCTGCCATTTATGAGATGGTTACGAGACACTCGGAAACTGTTCAGCAGACCGTTAACACTCACGTCGGTAGACTTTTCAAGAAGATGGATCTCGACAAAGATGGAGTCATCTCCAAGGAAGAGTTTTTGACCAGCTGTAAAAACGTATGATTATTGTATGCGTCTGTGATATGCACCTGCTGAAACGGATATAGATTTAAATGAATCGCTTGTTTTTATTACAGGATCAAATCATATGCAAGCAGCTGATAGACTTTGATAATGTATGGCTGTGATGATTATTATCTTGATCTTCACATTATTCTTACCTTTAGAAAAGTCTTTTTTGAAGAATGTAGAATACGCAGGCAAGGAAAAAAGCAAATGCGAGCATTAATAAAGCTTTGTCTGTGACTTCACGCCGACCGTATTTCCCCAGCAGTTTTCCAGATTGCGCTATCACTTGCTGTTGATGCTCGAGTTCATCTTTGGTACCCGTCACCTTGTCCGAAGACGTTACTGTGGGTAATACAAGTTTTAATTTAAAAACTACTGAAATAATCTGAATTTTAAACATTACATTTAGTGCTTACTTAAAGTATCCAATGTGTTTGCACTTCTCTGTACCGTCTCGGCCAGATTTCTGGAAATGCTAAACAGCGTATCTGTGACTTGACTTGAAGCTTTTACCAAACCCTGCTTATCTCGCCGCTTTCGAAGAACATGTTGCCGTTCTTCAGGGACAGACAGGAGTTCATCCTTTGCCATTTTGTCGATGACGCAAGCACTGATCACATTAGCTTTCCGAAAAGCTGCCAATGCAGCGGTCAATTGTTGCCTGTGATCATCCACTTCTAATAACAATTCCATCTTCTTCTTTTCTTTACGTTCACTCTCGGCAACGTCCGCCAGGCGATTAATACTCGATCTCAAAAGAGCTATCTTTGCCCGCCCTTCAATATTTAATTCATTGAGCAATTCCTTAGGCCCTGCACATTGTTGAATATCCTACAAATTAAGGACAATTATGCCATTATATTTTTTGAAATACTACACGCATGAAAAATATTTTTCGAGGTTAGAAATATACCTGAATCAGAGCGGTCACTTGGAGGATATTATTTATAATCTCCTGACGAATTAACTCTAATTCCTGTTCGCTAAGCTCCATTTTTCACTTTATCGTTATATAGAGGTTAGGTTTTAACCTATTGACTTCTTCGTTAATATATTAATTGTATGATCACATGCTATCTCGGAGAAGTTGAACATCAATTGCACATTGTACACGTTTCCTTTTCAATAACTAATCTTAAATTCTTGTGATTAAATATATTATCAAAGGATGCAGGACGCGATCGCGCGACCCTGCCCGTGAGCAATCTTCCAACTCATTTCTGTTACTCTATGCTTTAAAAAGAAATAAACAAAATGACACCTACAGAATAGTTTAAAATAAAGGCGCTGCTATCTCAAACGGACTAAAATCGACTGATGTTAATTAATACTTCATTGACAACGGTAGATAAAGTCAGTGAAAAGATAAGTTAGGCTTTCGATGAAACTCAAACTTGTGGCACTACTTTTACCGACGGAGCATAAGAAGTTGATAAAGTAATTGCCTTTAATGCCGATTTCTTTCGATGAAATCCCCGACAAGTGATTAGAAAGAAAATATCAATTTATCATCCGCGGAAATATAATTTGGAAAATCCGAATGAATTAACTTTAAGCTGATATAAAATCCACGGTATATTTCAATGAATATTAAATGTTAAATTTAAAAACTCGTTGGAGGCCTATTTACCAAAAATAAATACGTCCGACTTTCCGTTCGCAAAAAAGCTTGTAGAAGGAATCGAAACGCATTAATATCTGTAATATTCGTAAATGAAGCAGTACTATCAGGATTTTATTTTAACCTCAGAGGATTAACGTTGTTAGATTTAAAAATCGAGGTTGCAAAATGGGATCGTGATTTTACTGAATTTTAGGGAAATCAGTGAGAGGAGAATTTCGTTTTAACTGCGACTGCAATGGAGGTCTCTCTTTCCCTCTGGTAACAAGACAGGACCGATTTAACGTTGAATCAACTGACGAAAGCTAATTTTCATTAGGTGTTAATAGTGCTCAGCACCCCTCCATCAGAGTCCTTCTCTTTTTGGCTTCTTTACCCCTTAGATAAAGACGACAGTAGCAATTTTACTCAGAGCTTGTAAGTGTCCAGAAAAGCAGTTTTTTTCCCATTACCCTCATTGCAGCAACCCTAAAAACATAATTATAAAATCCGATTACATCTAATCTCATCAGTGCGAGTCAACCGAATCATTAATCTCTCATTATTTCCCCCTACTAATCTAAAAAACTAAAATTTAACAAAAGTCTAAGAATATACATCGGTCTATCGGAAGGTCACGTGACGAGCTGCGACGCCATCTTTCTTTCGGCGTTAAATAAACCTTAACAAATACCGATTAATCAGCTATAAATTAGTGGATTAAAGTTCTTCCCAGTCGAAAAATCATTCCTTCGTTTCCTCGTACTGATTTTGAAGAACGAAACATAAATCCTAAGTAAAGATGTAAGTTAAACAATCGATGTTATTGAAGACATGAAGACCTTCAATCGGTATTGTTATTTTGTAAGGAGTTTTCTGTTTGTGGGATATGTAGTCGTGTAGTAAGTCGGAGGTTTTTTCAGATGGCTGATTTGGATGATTTATAGACTAGATGATTTTTTATCCGTAGGTAATTCGACGTCAAATGGGGGATATGGTGATATTTTCGAAGCGTCCCTCTTTTACCGACTCACAATATGAAAGCACGGGCACTTGTGTGCATCGGAGTACAGAAAGCAGAGACCGGATGACTGCTGACTGTTTATTAGTCTTGGGCTTTAAAGTCTGCACGTCTGTCAGCCGAGGGATGTAATATTAGTGTACAGTGTACGACTCTGCTCTTGCTTACGCGCTCCGTCTCTCTTCCTTTTTCCTTGCACTCTATTCTTTTACCTTTTTCCCGAATTTCCCGATCGGAAAGTTGACTGAACATTTCCCGTCATTTGTACTTAACTTGCAATCTTAGTGTAGAAATAAGGATATCTTAACGATTTCAATATTTACAAGTCCGGTATTACATTTTTAATGTTTATTGAAACTACTTGTAAATACTGAATAAATCGTAGATACAAGCACCGTTGTGAATAATTGTCCTTAACATTATTTCATCAACATTTAAAATTCAAGGTGATATGAAAGTGGCACCTGCGGGGTTAATTATTTAAAATTTGAAATTTGAAATTTTAGTATAAAAGTAAGGATATCCAATTTCAATATTTAGGAGTCCGTTAATAAATTTTATATCTTTATAGAAACTACTTAAAATCCGAAATCTTAGTATAAAAATAAAGATATCTTACCAATGTCAATATTTAGGAGTCCGTTATTAAATTTTATATCTTTATAGAAACTACTTAAAATCCGAAATCTTAGTATAAAAATAAAGATATCTTACCAATGTCAATATTTAGGAGTCCGTTATTAAATTTTACATCTTTATAGAAATTACTTAAAATCCGAAATTTTAGATAGTGTAGAAATAAGGATATTTTACCAATTTTAATATTTAGGCGTCCGTTATTAAATAATAAAGGTGCACCTAGTTTAGAGAAAAGTTTTATAAACATTTCTAACGTTTCATATATATATATGAAATGAATGATTTACATGAATATATATATAGAATGTCTCTTTCATATCGCCTTAAGAAGTGCACTTCCCGAAATCCATTTTCTCTCTTTAGCCAGTTTTTCCGTCAATTTCCTTGTCTAGTCCCGCCTTAAAATGAATGTTTGTCACTTGTCACATTTCCATGCCAGATTTAATGGATTGTGAGAACGACGATAATGTATATCTTCTGTTTATAACCGGTGAGTGGCGGATCTGTCTCTTTTTTCCTCGGCCACCGTTAAGACGGTACGTCCCCGCCTCATCTGAATAAACATATCTCGTTTCTGTCCTGCCCACCCAGGCGAAACTATTAAGACTCTTAGGGGAAAAACTCGGCCCTTTACGGCACCGATTAACCCTACAATCGACACTTCGTATTCCCCTGCGAGATTATTTTCTCGCTTCCTTTTGTCCCTGTTTTTCATTGTATTTTTGCGAAGTGGAGGGTCGGTCAAAGAGATCTCTGCGATCTTTTAAGGTTAAGTGAAACATGTAGAGGAACTTGATAGACGTCGATAAAGAAGATTTTTCTAACTACCTACGTTGAAGACTTTGGTTTTTATATTGACAGCTGTGTCGAATTATATTGGGTATTGTACTAATTGCCATCCTCCACCTGTCGATTTCGTACAATAATTGTTAAGAAATAGAAGTAAAACCCCAGAAATCCTCTGGATTCATGCTTTCTGGGGCCCTAGTTGACTGCAGAACGAAAATGCCGTCGAGCTCTCATATTTCGATCGACATACAATTATTGAAGGCCCTGATATAAAAAACGAAAGGGTCAGGACAATTTTACGAGAATTTAGAACACTCTGGTAATCGAGAAACTCGTATTTTAACGGGATAAAGGCAAAAAAAGTGTCTTATGAGCCTCTGTGCTAAAACGATGGGAAGACGAGGTCTCGGAGTGAAAATTTAGTTGACGTGGAAATCACAGATGGCGCAGGGGGTCCCTCTGCAGTCAACTAGGGCCTCAGAAACCATGAATCCAGGGGTTTTCTGGAGTTTTATTTCGATTTCTTTATAATTATTGTACGAAAACGACACGTGGAGGATGCCATTTGGTACAATACTCAATATAATGTGTTTCACTTCACCTTAACATCGGAATAAAAGATTAACAGACGTTTCGGCCACGATGAGAGCACTCTGCTCTATTTTTGAATTCTTTCTCGGAATGCATGATGTTTCAGGACCATTCTGCAGATTGTGGTTTTGGGGATTTTATGGGGACAGACGAGATCGGGTATTTCTGGCATCCGGAGGCAGTAATTGGTTTGGTCATTTAAAGAGCAAGTAATAAAAATGCCAGAAGCCATCAAAAAGAATTCCCAGTGAGCGAGTATATATATTCGATTTACAAGCACGAAATGGTGCTTTGAAATCGGATATTAATATTATAGTGAAATTTTTATGTCAATGGTAGAAATGGTCAAGCGGATCCTTTATTTTATGAGACGACTTTACAAAGAATATTGATAAAAATAAAAGGACTTATAATTTAACGATCATATATCATAAATCAACGAATTATATATCTGATGTTAGTATTCTTGACAAACGTGCAATCACACAACGGCAGTATTTTTACGTGTTATATTTTAGTAATGGTTAATTATCTTGTATATGCAAGGAAAGGTCTACACGTTTCCACTTAATCTGCATTACTTTTTGACTGATGTGGAACCATCATTACCATTGTCATTTCCTCCAAGGCGTATACACGTTAAACGGATTTAGATCCCTCGTTTGCCGCAACGTCACAGAAAAAGAAACAAGCAACCGTGTTGAGAAGCGAAAGTTTACACGAATGTCAGCTGTTAGGACGGAATATCTTCAGAAGGTTTCGAATGAACCCAAACTTTCGGAATGAAATGAGACTTTTGTTCCACTGATTGTGGCGGAGCCGAAGAGGACGACCAAACACAATAAGAGTGCAGTTAAAAAGAAAAAGAGTTCCTTTTATATACTGAAGAAGGTTTAATGGACTGCCTTGCTTTCCTATATATTGGGGATACACCAAATGTGTAGTAAATTAATGCAGATTTCAGTTTTATCGAACTAACCGAACCGTAACTAAGATGGCGGAGATGCGCAATAAGAGTCTTTTCTGTTCACTGCAGTTTTAATTTGTATTGCAATAAAACCTGATACACGAACACACATGTAACATAATATTGAATTTACTCTTAAAGTGCATGAAATCAGATTATTACTTCATCATGTATAACGTCCCCTTTCATTTTTAAGGATTTTTAAGAGTTTGAAAGATTTTACCAAGATGGCGGAGAAGCGCAATAAGCGTCTCGTCTGTTCGCTGCAGTTTTAATTTGTACTGCAATAAAACCTGATACACGAACACATATGTAATTTAATATTATATTTACTCTTAAAGTATATTAAATCAGGTTATTACTTCATCATGTATAACGCCCTGTTCCATTTTTAATGATTTTTAAGAGTTTAAAAGATTTCGCCAAGATGGCGGAGCAGCGCAATAAAAGGCGCGGTCACGATCGGCGATAAAGTGCCCCTTTGGAGTCGTTAAAAATGTATGCGAGGAGAAAAACCAATGGAAGGCACCAAAAAGCGATGAGTATGAATGGGGGTGGAAACTAAGTCGTTGGGGTTGCTGAAATAAGGTATAATTTTCCGCACCAATTAAGGTCTTTAAGAATTGCGACCAATTGAGCGCAAGGGTCGGAACTTGCCTTAGGGGAGACATGTAGTGAATCCCCCTATAATTTATTATTGATTAGTTCGAATCGAGAAAAAAAAAGAAAGATTCGATGCCAGTGGCCTTATTGGACCTCCCGGTCTTCCAAATTTCACCGGAAGTAAATGATAAGGTCTAAATACCTCCGAGGTGGTCAAATTTCTTTTCGAATGCTTAAATCGAGTCCCTTTTTAACGTACCGCGATATTAAGCCAAATAAATGTACATACTTATACGTATTTCTTACTTCACTACACTCTTCGCGATAAACAATGTAAATATAAAATTTAACAATTTTTCGACGTCTCGTTTCTAATTTTTTAAATCATTCTTAGGGAACGTGTGATATTTTTTATCGACTTCTTCCTTACTAGACCGAAAATTACGATAAAGGGGGGTGCTGGTCAATAAAGGATTCATAAAATTGATTTCGAAGATTTCCCAGGTTTATTTCTATTAACGTGGAAAAATTTTGTCGTTTTACTCGTTGCCGTCGGACGGCAATAGGACCTTCGATGAACTTTCTGCCACGAAATAAAATTCCATTTCTCCCCATTACAGTGAACTGTATAAATAAAATATGTAATTCCAAGCCAAGTATTTTATTCCCAACCATTATCTGCCGTAGAGTAACAATTAATGCTAGCCATGTTGCCCTGGAAAGTGTAAAATGACAAAGAAATTCCTGTTCCGTGAGAAACAAAAAATTAGAATTTCGTCTTCATTATTACCTTGCACACATTTTTAAATGCTTTATAAATGCCATAACATAGTTTTATAAAATTCTAGAGTAACCTGTCATTAACGGAATTGTTTTCTTTTTCGATTTTTAGGGTATTAGTTGAATAGGCCGAATGTGGCAGTCCTGATTTCGAATGTTGGCACCACTGAATGCTCAACAAAATGGCGGCGAGAAAAATGCTTTTAATTAAACAGCATTTACATAACGTAATTCTCCTCTTTTTCTATTTTTTCGGTATTAATTTACTAGTACTACTATGCCGAAAGTGGCAGTATGATTTCGAGTGGTGGCGCCACTGGCGTCGGATCCTCAACAAGATGGCGGCGAGAAAAATGTAGGAGGCTATCGTAGAGTTAGGTAGAGCGTGATCGGCGCTACTGTGGTTCACACTTAATTAAACCGCAATAGGAACTCGGAGACTCGCACGTGGCGAACAATTCTGCCAGTCTTTAGCGACAATTGTCATGTAAAGCACACCCTATATATGCAACGCGCGGATTCTCGATAGCAGCGAGTCGAAACGTGAACATCCCCGGAGACTGCACCGACTCTGGACGTACTACTTAGGTTAGGACGCGACCCGGTGGAGGCTCCAAGCTTTGGAAATAGCGTTAAATTAATTAATATCATATAAGAAATATATTAACCATGAAGTGAAATAAGTTTACCTAACGCCTATGATCGGTTCCACAGAAAGTGGTTCCAGAATCAGGTCTCAGATTTTCGCTGACGTAACGACGCGAGCGCCTCTCGCGGAGAACGAGGGAACTCCCATCTCGGAATACTACAAAACTCGGAAATGCCTCCTTCCAGAACGTAAGGCACTTTTTCTTACTGAATTAATAACTAAATCAGGCAGGTTTACAGAATTGCCGGATCCTTGTCTAAAATTGATAATGTATCGGAGCGTCACGAGTAATCCGACGCTCTGAAGGAATTATTAAGGTTGTATGATACTGCTTACGTAATTTCAGTACAATCTCATGATACGTTTATTCTAGGACATGAACTAGTTAG